ACATCCTATGTAATTTGTGTTTCTGTCCACTAAGTCTCACGTTCTCTAAAAAGACTGTTCAATGTCTCCTGAGATAAATAAAGAGCCAACCCAAATCCACTATCTTTATTCTTGTGTTACTAAATGTACTACTAGTTCCTAGCCACGACTATCCCCACCACTCAGCACAGCTCTCAGAAAAGCATTTTCTCGCAATGGGATTTAAAACTGAAAAGGAATCCTTTCTAGGGCAATAATCCGTGTTGCTTTGTTGTCTCCATCTGACAGAATTTGGTAGCATTTCTTCCATCTCCACTGGTTTCCTCTAACTTCAGCTGAGGTCCTCATTACATGCTATAACAGCAGGACAGTCTGTTAGACCTTCTAAGGTGAATATGCTATCTAATGATTTTATACAGAATAAAACTAGTGGGAAGGATTAAAGGAGGAGCAGGCAGCTATCATACATCTGAAAGGCAAAGCTAGGTTGCAGATGTGGTCCAGTCAATGTTTTCCTGAAATTCACAGGCTGGAGGTTTGAAGTTTAGAGTCCTTAACATTACAAATGCTTATACAGAATTTCAGTATTTGAGGCACTACATAAAAAAGCTTCTACATATAAAGATCCATCAAAAAATATCATCACTATTGCATTACAAATGATCAAACTTAAAACACTTCACATAAGCATAAAGATACTTCCCTAGTGTTATTTTTCCATGTAAGTTAGTACTGTGACTGCCATATGAATTAAAACTGTAGGACAGAAGGGTCAAAGTATACAGTAGGAGAAGTGGTACTATGAGATCATAAAAAAGTGCCCTAAATGAAGCCAGGAGAGGGCACACTACTTGATAAGCTTACGCAGTCTGTTCATTTAAAAGCAAGAACGACAACTCCTCACAATGCTTTATAACTTGAATCCATTTAAATAATTCAATATTCACTGTGTCCGACGTAGGGCAGTCTTCTATTGCAAATGTATTAAAGAAAAATTAATTAATATTGAAACCTGTTCTCCAGTAAATTAATACATTTCATTCAGCATTTTCTTCTCACTAAAATATAGACCCACTGCTCGTATTCTTCCAGTGAATTCTAGCTCTCTGTCACAAGACAGACACGTCTGTGTCTGCAATGTCTTCCTGAAATCACAAAGCTAGTACAGGTAAATGGCAGTATTTGCTTAGGACTGGGATACATATTTGGTGGAAGAATATGATTCACTAAAGCTTGAAAGATTTAAAAGGTAAAAGCTTGAAAGATTTAAAAGGTAATGATGGCTCTTCAGAAAGTCCTTGAGTCAAGATTTCTACCTAGCCCTAGTCGTGGACTCAGACCCTGTGCTAGTAATAGTGAATACATCATCAGAGTAATTGCCAAGTGGATGTTCAGGCAAGGTAACCTATAGCTAACTGTGAGGTGCCCAGAGGTTAAAAACGGGTGTTAAGAATCCCATTCCTTTTTCCTGAGACAGTAGGATATGAGTATTAAGTATTGTTGAATCTCAGCAAAGCAAAGCAAAGTTTTCTCAGATAATTAGAAGCTACTCTGGCATTATCAGTATTTAGCTTTGCCTGACCGTGTTTAGTAGGAGTAAAACTATGAGGTGCTCCGGCCCACTGTAATTAATTGTGTTTCATTTCAATTTTAAAGATGTAAAAATATTAGGTGTATTTCTGTACACTAACTATAGAAAAAATAGTCTGTTGTTGCTACTACCATTATCACCAAGAATTATTCAACATTACTGTTTGCACAGAAGCCAACTGATTCAGAAATTCTTCATACTAAGCACTGTTTCAACATACAGTAAGTCAATTTCCAAAGGCCATAGAAGTTATGGACTAAAAGACAAAACACATCAGTGGATGAGACAAAAAAGTGGCAAGGATCCCTATATTTCCCATGAGGGAGAGAGGGCAAGCACAGGAGGTCATGATAAAACCAAAACCATGGTAAAAAAAGAAAGGATTGAACAGAACCACTGAAGGAAGCACTGACAGCAAGAGGACAATAAAGAATTTAAACATGAAAGCCAGGCAGCTGACATTAATTATGATTTGCCTGAAAGGAGATATGAGTCAGGCAACTAAGTAGTGGATGCCTCACAGGTTACTATAATGCTTCCTCCAAAAATATACAGGACAAAATAGGCATCATCTGTATTACCTAACCCTGTGATTAAGAATTTGCATCAAATAAACTTTAAAAATGTTATTCTAACTGTTCTCTACAAGAGAAGCTTTAATTCCAAATAAGAATACTCTGTTTATATTTTAATAGAGAGAAAACTTGCCAGTTCTTCCATCAGCCAAGCATTCTAACGCATGTTCTAGGGAATTTCCAATGAGAGTAGAAATAGGCCAGCCAAAATACTGTAAATAAAATATGAAGGAAAATAAAAACCCTACCATTTGAAGGACAAGACTTAACGTCTCTTCACTGTGTGATTGTGATAGCAGGCTTCTAAAACAGCATTCTTATTTTGCTTAATTGTACAACATAAGTTGTGCTAAGTGTGCGAAGGGAAAGGTGTCAAAATAGGGGATTCCATGTTTTGCAATCTAGACAAAGAGGTCTGTTCTTCACCTGATGCAACTGAACAGGCCCCAAGGTGTGACCTGCTTTCTTTTCAAACCAATGGGAATTTTGGTCTTTTCCCTGAAGGGAACAGGATCAGGCCAGTAACTATCAAAGTTATTAGAACTGAATCCACCGCTAAAGAATAAAATAGGTATCTGAACTTGGTATTTCAGTGATAACATTGGAACAAAATGGTAGCAACCCATAAAGCTTCAGAAAGTTATAAAGGACTACAAACTAAGGGAAAACTCTCTTTTCTCTTGACTCTCCAGGATGAAGATGCATTAAAGGCTGTAATCATTGCAGAATTCCACATTCTGTGTTTGTGAAGCAATAAACTTAAGGTAAAAGTAACAATTTCTCAGAAACATACTGTTCTGGGTAAAGCAATCAGGACCTCACATAAAGAAGTTTAAACAAGTGTAGTGTTTTTACTAATAATTAATCACTCCCTTGTTCCTTGTTTCTATGTTTGTGTGTGATACCAATGACTTTAGAAAGGAAAAACGCTATTCATTTGAACCCCAGCCTACATTTCTTAGCTTATGAAATATTTGTGAGTATTGTTGACAGTGTTTAACCACACATAGAGATTTTAGAAGCTGTTAAACTGACAAGGAAGACACCAACTGCCTCTTTTGTTGCTTCTGGAAGAGAATAACTGAAGCCATGAAAAAATCTATCTCCATACAAATTGCCTTGTCACAAGTATTGGCTCTTTCCTGTATCAAAAAGCATAATTCACAGTATGCTTTTAAATTTTAGCATTTAACTGACAAACCTGAAAGAACTGCCTTTGAATAACAATTTATTTTTTTCCATGAATACAGAAAAGGCTAACATTTTGGCTTAGTTTTACTTTGCTGTTCCTGTGAAAATACAAAAGGAAGGGTTAAATTGAAACAACCACTTGTTTGTAAAACTGTAGCGAAATTCATCAGAAATGCTCATCTTTATCTGTGAATAAAAAGACTCAAGGTCAGTAATGTCTTTCTTTTTATATAAAAACATGTAAGTAGTGTATTATATATTGTTATATTATATACTGTCCCTCTTAATCAGAAAAGAAAAGCTTTCTTAGAGTCCACCACTTTGTTTTAAAAATAAGTAAATCTTTCTGCTATAATCATAGCACTGGAAAAAAAATCTCTGAAGTTTTACAGATTGCCTACACCAATTACAAAAATGTGAAAGCCATAGTTCTCTCTGATCTTTGGTGAATTACTGTAATCTGAATGAAAAATGCAATAGTTTTTCCAGTATCCATTTTATCTAGCTCACCCAGACCGCTACAAGACTGTTAATTTGAAGTATATTTCCAAAATCTCAATTTATTTATAAAATTAATCTTAATACAAAAATACAGAGGATATCTTTTTTGGAACAGTCTTTGCAGTGTAAAAATGATTGAAAATGTGGTTACCTATATATGTAATCTTCTATTATCATGTCAATTATCAGTCATTAACAAACACAGCTAGAATTTTATTCAGCTCATGTCCTCATTGCTTAGGGCTATGCATCTGACATAGCATTTTTCCCTTTTGTGTATAAGCTATTGAAATGTTTCTTGATATAAAATTGTTATATATTTTTTTCTCAGGATGGAAAAACACAGCATAAATTATCTAACATTTTCTATAATAACTATCAGATGTTTCATATTAGTCAGATTATACTAAATAATCAAAGGCTGTGAAATTTCATCACTGTATCCGTGGATAAGGATGGATCAGTAGACATCCTAAATTCAAAATACAAGTGGTACAGACACATACTTTGCCATCTGGCCACTTCTGTCAATAGAGCACATTCACATTCTGGCTGTGTGTCAGATTTTAAAATAGGGCACTGCCCAAACCATTCAGTCTCACTCTTGCCACAGCGGATACTAGCCTATGTGGATCGTCACCTAGGATTCCCTTTTCGCCTATCTGCATGCCATGAGGCTGTGGGAAGCAGGATGAGGAGGGAAGCAAGCAAGAGATATTGCTTTGCTGTATCAAATAAGGGTAATACTGTCATTGCTTTTCAAATCTTGCACTATATCAGTGCATTTCGCACTACTTAGGCCACTTCGTGTCTGGTGAGTAAAAAAACAGGAAGCAATGAATGATGTTTGCTGGTCACCTTTATGGTCTGCAGGGGAAATCCCATGATTTTGGCCCAAAGTGGGGGTTGACTGACCGCCAAGAGCATGTACTGGACCCGTTCTGAAGTCCCTGGTGTTAACAGGTAGGCTTGACTCATGGCTCTCCTGATCCACTTTTTGAACAAAGTACCATGCTTGAGAGTGATTGATTGAGAAGAGCATGTCATCAAAAGGGTTTCAGCATGCCCCAGTCATAGGGGATGGGAAAGAAGGAGCTAGGGCCCTCCATGCATAACTGCAAGACACTTGTCCCTTAGGCTCTGCAGAGGAGGGTGGGAGCTACCGTGCGAGTCTTCTTCGTTCTGCACAGCTTCCTTCAGAGCTGGGCTGAATCTCAGTCGAAAGTTGGGAACGAGGTTGTGAAAGACTCTACGACCTGAGCCATCAAGGTCTTCTTCAGCTGCTGTTAAGGCTGGGAAGAGTAGTTCAAAGCAGCCTGTGAGCTGCAGTCTGCTTAGGCCTGCCTCAAAGAATACCTGGTTATAGCTAGGAATAACAATAGAAGTTATATAATTACTTTTGTGGAAGCCATTGAGACTTTTTATTAAATATTTCTCTGTATTTTTTTTTTTAGATCTTTCAAATTTCTTTGTCTAGATTAAGGGCAGCTTCAACGTCTTGTAATTCAGAGTCCCAAGGTTCAGTCCTCATTCTGTTCTCAGTTCATATGGGATAAATATGTTTATGGATTTCAGTGCAAAGTACTGATGTGTTTAAAAGCTAAACTCCAGCTGCAGTGATTTTTCTGAACTGGGGCTAGACTGTTGAATTCATTTTAGAAATAAATCTCCATTTATGGGTACATACAATCATGTAAATATGCTTAAAACTGTAACATTCTTCCTTTCTGTTAAAACAAGTTTTGAGAGAAGTTGTTTTTAACTTTGAAATATCTTAATTGTTTTGCTTTGTTTTATTCTTTTCACAGTTCAATAGTATATTTTACATGCCTGGCCAAATTACTGGTGGTTTTTAGATATTCTGGTATGATGGCAAATAGTATTACTAATATCACTGTAGCATTAAAATGTCTTTCAGAAATACATTATCATCACTGTGAGAAATGGTATTCACAAGAAGAACACTGAAGAAAATTTAAGTAAACGCATGGCACTACACCCTTATTTTAAGCTTGCTTTGATTTTTTTTTAACTCACCACAGTTGAGCTTTGAGATAAGACATAAGAAAACTTTTAAACTGAGAAAATGCTTTACTGACAACTTTTATGGAGGATACAAGGTGTTAAAAGTATCATTGTCATTTGATTATGCTGTTAATAACAAAATTCTAAATTTTGCATATTTTACAAGATCCAAACTAATAAAAAATAAAATTAATAACATACTTGTGAAAATCTATATCAAGATACATATCTGCATAATTCCTTTATTTAAAGGTCCTTTTTACTTCCTTCTCTCTTCCTTTCCTTTCATTCTCTGCCAAACCTGCATGTGATTTTCTCATAAGCCCTAGAAATTTGTTTTCTCTCTTCTTACTATTTAATTTGCTCTTTATGCTCTGATACTGTGCACTTATTAGTTGTCTCCTGCTCCTGCTGTCTCCTGCTTGTAAAGCAAAAGGAATATTAGCTATGTCACTTATTCCCAGCAGCTAATTAACTGGAAGCCACAATAAAATGACTTTGTAGAGGGCAGAACTGGCAAATACACATGGAAAGAAATACAGAGGAAAAAAGAAGCACCTTGAGGCTGTAGGTTGATACTTAAAATATTACTTCTAATGCTAAATGCAAATTTTCTGCATTAAGAGAGGAATTCTCTTTCATGAAATATGATTAATTTCATGGCTGTGGTACTGTAGAAATACTGGGGCATTAATTATGCCTTCTTTAGGTCTCAGAGAGATAGAAAAATTTGAAAAATACCATCAAAAAAAGTGACATAGAAAGGTCTCTCTCTCCCTCCCTTCCTCTCTCCCTTATTCTAAAGTGTCTGGAAACATAATTTGCAATAATTCAAATTAACTTATATGGGCATTTGATTGCAAGGAAAACTAGGGAATTTTCTAGTGTAAATGTGGACCTCACCTCATAAAATTTCACCAAAAACCAAGATACTTGTTTTTTACTTTCCAGATCAAAATGTAGGAGACATAATGCAATAGAAATGATGAAAATCAGTACTTTCTGTAAGAAGTTCATTTTTTATTTTTCACCAACTTTCTTCTGTTGTGAATGAAACTAAAAGCTTTTGATTTTCAGCAGCTGAAAAAGAGCACATGAAGCTTATAAAGTCTTCACTATCTCTGCTGGAACAAGAAGAAGCCATGTTCAGGTACTTTTGAACAGGCATACTCTGCAATCTCAAATACATGTCCCATAAACGACCTGGCAAAGCATAGGAGGATGCTGTCATGAAACAGCTAATTACGTTGGGGCATCCAAGAGCTTAGACACATGCTCCATCTGCTGACATCTTTAACATTTCTTCACTCTGTAACAGTCCCAGCAAGAAAACTTTTTACACCCCAGAGTGAGCTCTGACTTCTCTATCAATTTGAATAGAGCAATGTTCTGCAGAGATGAGATGGAAAAGCAAAGGTAGCAGGTCTGCAGTGAAGCTATTACTCTGTTCCATTTAAGAAGCACCATCTACTATTTCTACAAAGAAACACTAGCATTACTTGACATGTCAGATGCTATGAACTCCATTTTATTTAAAATCTTGGGACACAGCATAGACTACAATACATTTAGGTGATATTACACTGCTACCAGGTTACGCAAGATCCATTTGCAATGAATGACTAGCACTAGAAAGAAAACTAACTATGAAATATCTTGAGTCTGGGGAATTCAGAGAGAAATAACATCATCTCCCTTGTGATTTGTGCAACATCTTTGTCAATTGTTTTGCCTAACACAGAACTGAATCTTAGAAAAATAATTCACTTTCCTTTTCTCCTGTAATATAGTCACCTTAATATCCACCCTGTAGTACCCTGCATTATCCTGTAATACCTCCCTTCCGCAGGTATGGTTGAGAGATTCTTGAGGTGCTTTTCATCACCAACTCTCATGTCAGCGAGCCAGTCAAGTGGTTTAGCTGCCTAAGCGTCAGCTTCTACTACCATTTTAGATGTTCTAGGGCATCTGGGAGATCTGAATGGGGCTGAAAGATACAGTACGGGATTCCCAGGAGTACTGCACCCTTTTGAAGCAGTAGCCAAAGTGCAGGCGGGCATCCTGAAATGGCATCAGACACAGTTAAATAGCAGGCATCCTCTGTGTCAAGATACCTAAACTTGCTGCCAAGCAGCAGGCAGGGATGTTATTACAACCACTACCAAAATAGGCACCCTGCATGTGAAGTACCTGTCATAATCTTCAATATCTAATGGAAGGCAGGTTTCAGCAACTGATTGTGGAGAACTGCTTATTACCACTTACTGCTAGCTGCTCAAGAGGCCCTGACATATATTGGAGCCCTCATACAGACAGTGAAAGCCAATGAAAAACAATTGTTCTTAATAACAGTGGAAATACTTCATGCTGAGAAATGAACTTGTTATCTCACATAGAAGCTGTTACAGTCATCCCAGATCTTAAAAAGCACTTTCTACACAAAATGCCCTGTCTATCCTGTCAGCATCCCACTTCCCATTCCAGGGTAAAAAAAATCACTGAGAAAGAGCATGCTGTCCTCAGCCAAAATGTGACGATATTCCAAACCTGCAGCCTAGAGATTGTTCAGCTAGCATTAAAATATATTGTCATATGTGCATATAGAAGTATTAGTTTTCAGTCTGGGCTGTATGACCTTTCTGCATCTTTCATCCCATTAAACCTAGTCATCCAAAAATATGACTGCAAGACACAGCAAAAACAGATGGTGAAGCACGCCAGTGACAAAATACTCTTTTACAAGTGCAAAAGTCTAGTTCTAGAAAGCATGAGTGGGCTCCAGTTTCTTTTTATTAGATAAGACTGTCTTAAATTTTGTGCCAGAGTGGCACAAAATAGAACGATCTGCAAAGCAAAACACTTGCTCTTTCTTTCTCTCTGTGGATCTGTACCACAACTCCATACAATTTTCATAGGGATCTATATTCCATGGCCTATCTTTCTGAACAAGTAGAAAGAGTATTGCAGCTGAGATTCATCTAAGGGTGGATGTTTACCATACAGGGAAAAAACGCAAAGTCCCTTCATACTCAGTGGAGTTTAAGCAGTGGAGTTTAGGGCTTAATTTATCTGTCCGAAACTAGGTGTCTTAAGACACCACTGACTTCTGCTGATTAGATCTCCATAAACAATGTAGTTGGAGACGACTAGCTCAGATAGATACCTTCATTGTAAACACCCACATTCAGTCAGATGAACTCTCACTTATCTGTCTTCCCAGTGCTGCATCATCAGCCCTTCCTCTCTGGGGAGATGAAAGCATTCTTCAAAATGATGGTATGTTTCTAAAAAGTTTTAAATTCAGTTAATTACCATTTTCCAGCTGAAATCTATGCTATAAAGAAATATAGGATAGAAAGACAACAAATGAAAATCTTTTCACGCTCTAGGAAGAACAAGAGGTTTACCTCTGCTTCTCTGAAGTTGTCAGCAAGTTTTATTTTATTTTAGGGTTTTCCCTTCAGAATGCCTGAAATAAAACAAGCATGGAAGGAGACATAGGAGCAGGCCTTTCTGCTGCTCAGTGTCTCTGAAGGGCAGAGCAAATCTGGGAGTTAGCAATACACAGAGGATTGACTTGCTCCCAGAAAGTCTGCCATTTTATTGATGTTCTTAGCTGTTCCTGGCTATAGTAACCGATCAGAGAAACTGTACAATTCTGAAAAGCAGTTCACCCTGTCTCAATGGAAGGTATTCATACTGAAGAGAATCTATTTGTGCACATTCATATCCTCATTCAAAAGCATTTTGTTCACATCTGAAAGAGATTCTTGATAGAGAACATTAAAAATCAAATAATCAAAATAGGTGACATTTATTCAAAGCTCAATCAAAAACTATTGAATCAGGCAAATCATTTGAACATGTATCTCCATCTCATGTTGTTATTTGTAATTATTTCTGGCTTCAGAAGCAACTTTGAAACTGAGCATTTAATGGACATCCTTTCCAAAAAGAAACTCTATTTCTCTAAATTTTTGCACAACTGCTCATCCAGACCTCATAGTTCTTACATCAGTTCTTAACTGGAGATTAAAGACTCATCCGCCTGATAAAAGAAAGCGCTGAGCTACTGGGCTACTTTATCTCTTCACAGCTGGACCACAGAATGTACAGTATTTGATTTCAAGCAAGAGAATGTAGGGAATGCTTTGCTATTAATTGATTAATTTTTACAGAGAACTTTGAAGATGAAAATCACTTTTCAAATGTTAAGTGTTATTATAAGTCCCTGTGAGGCAATGAGTGTTGAAATCCATGAGCATGGAAGAAGGCTGGTAAATTCTAAATGCAAACCTGAGTTAAGGAGCAGAAAACAATAGTTTGAAATAAAAGGGAAGGGAAGTAACTAGTATAGTAGGACCTACTCACAGAGTGCAAAGACTGCTCACGGATCTGACTGCAAAGCAGAAGCAGACAAAGAGGGGAAAAATGAAAGAAAATTACAGTCAGTTAAGCCTTGCAACAAAAGATAAAGGCAGGAGAAAAGAAGAATGATTTAATGCTAGCTAAAGTGATTACAGAGAACAAAAAGGCTCTCATAAATATACTGTGATTGAGGAGGGGAAAGAAATATCAGTGAGAAATTATGAACATTAATAAATAAGGAGGGAGACAATACAAAAGTGAAGTGGCTGAGGATGCCTGCTATTTTAAAAATCCAAGTTATTGATAGGAAAAGATTTTTCTAAGAGAAACAATCAGAAAATCAGTAGATCACTATAAACATAATTTCCAATAAATGAAAAAAGTGTGTAGAAAATGTAAGTAATAAGCCTCATCTAATATTTATGCCAGTGACTTACCATAATTTGATCAAAGAACTCTTTATGAACAATTGGCTTTTTTTAGCTGTACAAAAATGGACAGTATCTGTGGAGTGATAATATTATTTTTGTTTAACTCTTTTGGCAAAGCATAGAAGTATAAATATGTATATATTGAAAAATCAAGAAAAACTGTAGTCAGTACTGAATAGGAATGTCGTCTTGTCTCAGACAAATTCCATTACCATTTTTAAATAAAATTAATTTTTAACAGCGAGTTCTGTTGGAGGTAGAGCGCCCTGTGGAACCTATCAATCCAGTCTTTTAAATCAGGACAATACATATCAAAACTAAACCAAAGGAGGAAATTTGCATTTGATAGAGCTTGAATATAGTAATGTAGTATTAGAAATGTAAAGCACTATCATTTTCTAAGATTCTGTTTCCCTACTGAACTCAAACAATGGTCTCCCTCTGACTACAAGCATAATGCTACATTTGAAACCTAAGATTTGAGCAAGTGTTGCGTCTGCCACTGGGTAGCCAGATGCTACAGCAGACTAAAATCTTTAGTGGGTTTCTCCATGCAGTGGCTAGACATGGTGTCTGTGCAGCTTGCACATCAGCCAGCTGCAGCCAGCTCTCCTACTGGAGCTATCAGCGGCAGCACCACCAGCTGTGCCAAAGAACAGGGCCCTTTCTTGGCCTTGAAGCACCTCTGCTAAGCCTTGACCGGTGAAAGTCACACTCTGCAGGATTTACAAACATAAAGCAGAAAACACATTGCAATATATTCTCAATTCAAGTAGTTACCAGCAAAACATCTAAATTGCAGGTAACTACTACAGGCTCTTAGTGAAAAAGAATAATAAGGAAGCTTCAAGAAAACTAGAAGCTTTCTCTCTAATTCCCCCTCATTCATTCAAGAAAGAACAAAAATAAGAGAAATTACTTGGAGCTGTTAAGGCACTGAGTTCTCTCCACATAGAGGAACATAACTTAAAAGCATATTAAAATAGAAGAATATAAAAATATGAATTTATTTTAGCTCACTATAATGATCATTTACAACTGAACTCTTATTTATAAATATAAACAGAACTAACTATAAAACATAAACTGTGAATAACATTTTTCAAGGCACATGCAAAGCCATTCATCACTCTGAAATGAAAGACATCAGCTCAAACTTAGGTTTTGGGATTTTTTTGTGCTTAAGAAATACTAACGACCAAGATAGACCCATGTCTGCCATCAAAATAAAACTAAGCTTGACTAAATCTAGATGTGTGAGATATGACAGGTTGCCCACTAAGGTTTCCCATAGAAAACTGAAAGAAACCTTGTCACAAACCTTTGCTGTTCATGTATATGCCCCATAAACATGTGTTGTCTGCTACTGTAATTTTTAGAAATAATGTTATTAGAACATATTGGAGAACAGCAGAGATAAGATGCTATATGAGAGAGAAAATTCAGGTAAGAGGAAGCACAGTGTGTGACTGAGAGTCTGGTTCTGGGTAAATCAAAGTGTAATATTCACATACAACTAATCTGAGGCAGATGGGTAGAAGGAGAATTGACCAAAAGATACTGAATAAAGAGAATCAAGAGAAGAGTTAAAGAAATTTAAAAAAGAAAAAATCCATGCTCTGAAAATATATTCTTTAAAATAGGTTAAAGTGAGTCTAAAGCAACAACAGTGAAGTAGGAGAACTGCTCACAGGTCCAAAGCTGTATTCAGTTTATTTGTCCAGCTCATTAGACATCTTAGTGAGGGAAATTTCACACAGAAAAATGCAGAAATGTTGTGTATTTGGGACAAAATAATCAGTGAAAGGTGAAGCAGTTACCAGGATATCAGAGATCAGGAAAAAAAAAAAAAATTGGAACAGAACTATTCGTGGGGAGGGAAAGGTTTTTTTGAGGATGGAGGAAACCAGTGTTTGTTCTGTAAGAAGATAACAGAAAAAGATGAGGGGATAAAGAGAATGAAGAAGATAAAATAGAGAGGGGAGGATTAATAATTAAAAGAGCAGCAAAGGTAAGAGACAGTCCTAAAAATGCGGGGAGCATAGCAGGTATCAGTCCTGTGACTGGGAAAAGGAAATAGTTTTTTTAGGAAGAGA